AAATTTAGTAAGTTATTTATTTTATTTGTTTGATTTGGTTTCAATTTTTTTATTTTACACAGAAGATTGTTCCAACAAAGATTTTACATGTCTGCAAGTAATAATTATAAATGACATTGGAAATACTAAAGCGTTCCACATTATCAGAGATAGATATGCTGGGTTTAGGGTTGAAGTGCAATTTTACTAAAGTTGATTGAAGTAAAATTTTAATAAAAATATAAGATACTAATTAATATTAATTATGAATCATTGTGATGTTTAATTGCGGGAGATGATATGGTTAATAAAGTATTAGTTACAATTATGATTTTTTTTTTATTTTTTTAACAAAGGTTCATTTCATTGAAGATGAAGACTAGATACATCAGAGTTTAACAAAGAAACAAGAAGAGGGTGGACAGTCCATAGATCAGGTAAAGGCTTGGAGCATGGGCTTTGGCAGCCCAGTGAGCCACCAATTATGATATTTGATTACAGCAATTACATTATGAAGATTTTGGTTAAGCAAATAATTTCTTTCATATTACCAAGTTGTGGGTTCAAATTTGATATTTGTTGGGTTGGGTTAAATGGTTTACTTGAATTAATTGTTGGACTTATATAGATTTACAATTGTTCAACTTTATGTAATTAATTTCATATTTTTAATTAATCTCTTATAAATTAACTAAAACAAACCATGCAAATAATTTTCGATTATGTGATAGGCAACTTTTATTTTGATTATGTGATAAGCAATTAATAGTCAATAAAGATAAAATAGATTAAAATAATCAATAAAACAAAATATCACATTCAATTTATAATTATTTTATTTTCTTATAACTATTAAATCAATTAAAAAAAAATTGACTATATTTAAAACACAATTTTTTAAACTAAATTAAAATAATCAAAAAAATCAAATAACAAATTAAAATAGGGTTTTTTTTAAGGTCCCTGGTATTAACATTTTCTAGCATAAAGGACACCAAATATTTTCATAATGTCTAAGGTCCCTCAGGTTGATCCAGAGAAAATTGGTCCAAAGAAAATTAGTCCAGAGAAAATTGGTCCAGAGAAAATTGATCCAAAGAAATTTCATCCAGAGAAATTCTCTGGATTCTACCCAGAGAAAATTCAAATTTCTCTGGGAATTGTGAATATATATATATATATATATATATAACTATGACTGCCAATTAGGTGGAAGGGGAGAAAAGGGAAGGAAAGAGAGAAGGTATGGAGGAAGTTGTTGTGAGGAGGGGAGGGAAAGAAAAGGGATTCTGTTTCTCTGGACTCCCCAAACCCAAAGAAATTCTTAGACATACATTTCCAGAGATTCTTCCACCCAGAGAATTTCTCTGGACTCCACAATCCAGAGAAAATTCCCAGCCAGAGAAATTCTCTCAACCCAAAGAATTTCTCTGGGCATGACCAGATGCAATAGCTGTTGTTGCCATAGCTTCTGTTTCTGTTGATATTCATGATAAATTGCGGCTTCCCAAATCATTAGATTCTAGTTCCTCCTCAGGAAAATCCCATTCTTTTATTTCTGATTCATTAGAAGAAATAAAGTCATCATGTGTGTCTAACATATCAGTTTCCAAGTTTGCAAACTCGTCATTTATAACCAGAATACCAGTACCTATTCATAACATAGCACAACCAATTTCCAATTCTAATCATAGCTTTGTTCCAAAATTTTTGGGTTCTCCTGTTGCTTCTACTCCTGCTCTGCTCAACTCGTATTAGTCTGCATAATTGGCCAAATCTGCAAAACCAACTGCATATCAATCAACAACCAGTTTACACCAAGTTTGACTTGGCCTTCTATAGTTCTCATGTTTATTCCAAGCTCTTTTTGTTGGTCAATGAATGAACATTCACAAACTGGTTCTTATATACACATCTAACCCAGAGAAAATTCAAATTTCTCTGGGTTTAACCCAGAGAAAATTCAGTCCAACAACCCAAAGAAAATTCAGTCCAACCAAACCAGAGAATTTTGTAAGAACTAGTTTGTGTGTATACTTTTAAAAAAATCAAATTATTCATACTCAACTCATCTTCGACTTGTTAAAACTGCAACAAATTTTTTCATAAATTTTTTTTAAATGCACATAAATCAATTACCAAACAGGACACAACATATCTCTCCTTCCATATCTCTGAACCTCAGCAAGTACACCTTCAATGGCTCGACGTATTCTTCAAACCCCAGTGTCGTCATGGTCCAGAGCAAATTGTCGTCGGTGATGAAGCTGATGAACTCTGAAATGCACTCTTGAACTGTTTCCTTGGCGTCCTTGGAGATCTTGGCGTTCGCCGGTAAAGCCTTTTTTATGATTCGACTCACGTTCGCGATCGGAAGGAACCTGTCTTGCTCCCTCGGTGATAGCTCGCTGTTCGAGTTGTTGTGTCATCCTGATGGGTCAGATTCCGGCGGTGGTGGTGAGAGTGGTGTGAGATGGGTGAGTTTAGGAGTGGGAATGGGGTGAGGGTTCTTAGACTACAAAAGAACAGATTGTGGACCTAATCTATTACTAAAAGTTGGATAGGGACCTTAGACCGATTTTCCCATTAAAATAGCCTATTTGGGCCAAAATTTCCTCCAACAAAAAAAAAAAAAAATCCAATTGGTATGTTTGGTTTCAGTTTTCTGGAAATTGAGTTTTTTGTTTTTCGTTTTTTTAAGTGTATAATTTTAAAATTTTAAGCAATTTTTTTTTTTTACTTTTTAAGATGTATCTTACTTAGATGTATCTAAGGAATAAAATATTTATAAAAAAATTAATAAATACACAAAAATATACTGAATTTTTGTATTTTTTTATATTTTTGGTATTTAGTAAATTTTTTAAAGATATTTTTTACAAATTTTATACTTTTAAAGTGTATTTATGTTAGGTGTGTTTAAAAATTAAAAAAATTATTTAAAATATTTTAGAAAAATCATTGAAAATAAAAAATTATGAAAAATAAAAAGATAGAATTTTTAAAAAAATGCTTTCTGAAAATGAAACTAAACAAACTGAATAATTACCCATAAATTTGTGATGCTATGTTGAAGAACTTCCGTGTCTTAACATTATTTTAGCCGTCAAAATAAAGCACAACATTGAGGGTAAAAATAATGATTTGAATATGAAGTTATACTTTGAATTTTGAATTTTTGAATTATGAATTAAAAATAAAAAATTTATTTGGTTATGAATTTTGAAAATAGTTTGGAATATGAGAAAAAATGAGAGGGGAGAAAAAAGAGAAAAAAAAAATAATAATAAATAAATAAAAAGGAAAGAGAGGAATTTTAAATTATATTTTAAAAATATATTTAAGTCTCGTTTGGGAGCAAACTATTTTAATAATTTTTTAATTTTTTATAAAAAGATATATAAGAAAATTTAAAAAAAATTATGTGATAGCTTATAATAATTTTTTAATTAAAATAATTACTTTCTAAACAAGGCGTTAGCTAACATGTTTTATCTGATTTAAAAAAGGATAAATTACAAATACATCTCTAAGATTTGATTAAAATACGAATCATTCCTTCTGATTTTGGAAATTACATTTTATCCACCGAGATTTTCAATTTCATAACAAATCTTTCATTTTATTAATACATCATCCAGTGAATTAATAATTTTTAATAATGTTAAAAGTATGTTTTAATTAATAATTTAAGTAATTTTATTATTGTATAGAAGAATAATTATGAATTAAATTTCTTTTAGTTAATTTTGTTGAAATTTTTTTTTAACAAAGGAATATTTATAATTTTTTAAAGGGGTATTTTTTTTAAGGTCCCTGATATTATGATTTTATAGTAGAAAGGACATCAAATATTTTCATAATATCTAAGGTCCCTTAACATAAATCCAGAGAAAATTCAAGTAAGAGAAAATTGGTCCAGAGAAAATTTGAAAATTTCTCTGGACTTCCCTAAACTTCCCACTGTAAATTTCTCTGCCCTTTTTTTTTTTGAACATTAGAATTCCCCTACCTCAACTCACTTCCTTGCTTCTCAAAAATGAGGAAGAAAGGCAACAGTACAATATTATATACATACTTTCCATTATCAAATCCCTGCTAAGGTTTCCTATGTCCTCAAACATTGATAGCCTGCTCTCAGCAACAAGTTACAAAATTCTCTGGTTTGGTTGGTCTGAATTTTCTTTAGGTTGCTGGACTGAATTTTCTCTGGGTTGGATGTGTATATAAGAACTAGTTTGTGTGTATACTTTTAAAAAAATCAAAATAGAAAGCACACTGGGATTGAAAAACCTGAAAACACACTCAGATTTATTCTTCCCACGGTAACGAGCAGCCATTGGATTAAACTGACCAAACTCTCTCTCTCTCTCTCTCTGAAATAGTGATAACAACTGATTCTTGGTTGCTCCAATGGGTTGATGATTGAGTACTGAAACAGAAATTCAATGTAACAGTAGACTATACATGGAAAATTGAATGAAATAGAGAAATGAGTATTGAATATTCACCTGATAGAGAGAGATTAATTTGGTTTTCGAGTTCAAATCAATGGTACGAATCAGAGGAAACAGAGGACCGCTTGTCGGAAATGCCGTCGTGCTCCTCATCTTCACCCTGAATTCGTGTTGGAATGTGAAACCCGAAAAATCCACCAATCGAGGTGAATCCGATGCCCAGGAATGAGGATGAGTGGATTGGCAGGCTTTGATAGTGGTGGTGGTGGTCGGCGACGGTGGTAGATCGGAGGGAGGATCTGCAAGACAGTGGGTGAGAGGAGAAGAGAGAGAGTAAAGTAGAGACAGAGTGAAATTTTTCTGATATATGTTTAGGGATCTTAGACATCAAAAAATAATTTTGTGAATTTATTCCATTATAAAAAGTGGGAGAGGGACCCTAGACTAATTTTTTATTTTTTAAATCACAAAAAATAATTTGTATTTTAAATCAAACTCTGAGTTATATTTGTAATTTACTCTTAAAAAAAAAAAAACAAAAAACAAGTAAACCAAACGGTAGCTCAGCCCTTCAGTTTCGCGGTCCCTTATCTTCTTCCCCAAGCATATATCTGCTCTGTTCATCTTATTCATTCTGGTTTTTCACTCACAACTCCTGGTTTCTTGCATATCGAATCAATCCCAATCTTCTCTGCATACATCTATATAATCAATCCCAATCTTCTCTGCATACATCTATATACGTAGCTAGCTGTGTCTTTGTATACATATTTTGTTTTTCTCTATAATTTAGGGTTTTGGATATTCTGCAGTCTGTCAATGGCGAACTCCGCCGCCGCCCCTGGTGGCGTTCGTATCGTCGTCGCCGGCGACCGCGGCACCGGCAAATCCAGCTTGATTGTCACAGCCGCCGCCGATACCTTCCCCACCAATGTCCCCCCTCTGTTGCCTCCCACCAGGTTGCCCGATGACAAGTACCCTGATCGAATCCCTGTTACAATCGTCGACACATCTTCTAGGTCTCTCTCTCTCTCCCCACATGTATCTTTGTATTTGTATTTCTCTGTCTTCAATCACATGCCTCAGTTCAATTTTCCAACTTTTTTGTGCTTTGTGTCACCTAATTGTGTTTTGCAGTAAAGATAAATGAGCTTTTGGGATTCAATGATATTGTGCTTGCTGTGTTTGTTGGGTTACTATGTTCTTGTTTAATTGTTTGTTAGTTTTTTTTTTCCTGGTTGTTGTTTCTTTGACACAATCTTGGTAATTTTTGAGTTTAAACTTGAGTACTGTTGTGACATTGTTGTATTCAGTTTGGAGAATAGAGGTAAGCTGGCTGAAGAACTGAAGCTAGCTGATGCTGTTGTGCTCACTTATGCGTGTGATCAGCCTGTGACGCTCGATCGATTGAGTACTTTCTGGCTTCCCGAACTCCGTCGATTAGAGGTTTGTTGTACCTTAAGTAAATTTGGTTTAGCTGATTTGAAGTTATTTTGTAAACAACGTCTTGGTATGAGAATTTCTTGAAAAATTAAGAAGATTATTTCAAAAGCAAGCCAAAAAGTGTAAATTATCATTTATCTTCTCATTGCCTTTCTGATTTTATTTATTTATTTTGGGGTGTGAGCAGGTAAAGGTGCCAGTTTTATTAGTGGGTTGCAAGCTGGATTTGAGGGATGAGCAGTATAAATTGAGCTTGGAGCAAGTGATGTCGCCAATAATGCAACAGTTTCGGGAGATTGAAACTTGTATAGAATGTTCATCAATTAAACATATTCAGGTACAGTTTAATGCTTCATGGCATCTATTCTTGATTAATTTCTTATTGGTTTACTTGCTTATCATACCAAATTTTCCACTGTTTTAATTATTATTATTTTTTTCAATACTGATATCTGGTTGCATTGTTGGAGACATTGATATTATAACATGTAACCTGCTTATATGGCCCTTTCAAGATATTGTAGAATTTACTTGAAAATTAAAATATTGAATTTAAAATTTTTCGCCTTGTGAATTTGTTTGTTAGATTTGTAACAATGAGGTCAAAGGAATCTATATTATCAATCATCCAACTAGTTTATTGGATGACTTGTGATTAATTTTTTGTTTCTAAATCAATCTGTTGGTGTGATGTCATTTTTGTTTGGTTTGTCATAATGTAAAGTATTGGAATTTATCTACTTGCAGATCCGTGAAGTTTTCTACTATGCACAAAAAGCAGTTCTTCACCCAACAGCTCCTCTATTTGATCAGGAAGCACAAACTTTAAAGCCTCGGTGTGTGAGGGCTTTAAAACGGATATTCATTCTTTGTGATCAGGATAGGGATGGTGCACTCAATGATGCAGAGTTGAATGATTTTCAGGTGTCTGTTTTTTGTGTGAATGTGAATATATATGAATGCACTCAACTTAAAAGTGTATATGTGAAATATGTATATTAGCTTTGAATTTGTTCATTTCCTGAGCTCTTTTAAAACTTTGAGTGAGTAATTTTATTGTAGTTCAAGCAAATTTGCTATTGCATTGCATGTGTTTATTTTTTATTGTGACTATGACAAATATCGTATATCTTGATTTTAAACAGGTCAAATGTTTCAATGCTCCATTACAACCTTATGAAATTATGCGTGTTAAGTGTGTTGTGCAAGAACAACTACCTGAAGGCGTCAATGACCATGGTCTTACTTTGACGGGATTCCTCTTTCTCCATGCAGTATTCATAGAAAAGGGGAGTCTTGAGACAACATGGACTGTGCTAAGGAAATTCGGATACAATAATGATATCAGGCTCAGGGATGATCAACTTCCACCTCCAATTGACCGAGCAATTGATCAGGTGACTCCTTTAGTAAACCTTGATTGATGGCTTAGTTTATTGAATCTTGTTTATGTTTCTATTGTCCGTATAGGCTTTTTGTACTTATTTGTCAAAAATGAACGGGAAATTGAAGATTGGATTCAACAACTTTTAATTTAATAAAGGTTAACTGAAAAAAATAAATCATTATTATCTGTGCTAGTATAATTGCAGTTATTTGTGATGCTAGAGCTTGAGAGCATAGTGTGTTTGACTTGAAAACTGATAATCTATGAGAAGAATTCTCTGTTTGGTTTGAAGCTTTCAAAAACAATTTTTTGAGTGTTCAATTGATTTTTTTTTTTTTTATAGTGAATTTTTGTAACAAAATTTTACCATGACACATGTTGGATGAACTTCAATTATACCATCTGATCTTGCCTTCCTGCTGGGCTTTTTAAATGGCTTGAACTCAACATATTGAAGTTTTTCAACTTTATATCTTCTCTCTAGCCTGTTTTAGCTTGTTTCTTTGTAAATACCTGGACCTTTTGAGTTGAAGAGACTCCGACTGTGGATGTCATGTGTACTGGATGGCCACAAGGAACATGGTCTAAAATTGGGCTAGTAGGGTTGATCTAAAATTGCTACCTTTACCCCTCAAGCAGTGGCATTTAGCGTTAAGTTTCAAGTTAATGTCACCACGGTTAAAAGTGAAATTTGACTACTTTGATATAATATACATCTCTGCTCTTCTTTCTCGATATAATCCTTTCTAAATATTGTGGATTATTTTTTAGCATTAAATTCCTTGTTCATGGAACATATATAGTGTACTTTTTGAAATGGTAAACTCTATTTATCATTTGTGTAGAGTGTGGAGCTGACAAGTGAAGCAGTGGAATTTCTCAAGGGCATCTTTCTCATGTTTGATATTGATGGTGTACGTATACTAGCCATCTGCTTTACACATTTAGACCTTAATGTCAAATATGGATTTGATATGTTATTATAATTTGAGGCCCATTCATTGTTTTATGTTGTTTATCAATATATTGTGAACAGAGTTTTTACATGTTATTGCTGTTGTTTCTAATTGTAGTTTTTATGGTTTTAAGTTGCTGATATTACTTGACTTATTTACTCACGGAAAATATGTCAGGCAGTTTTCCTTAATAATAGACTTGAATATGCAAAATCAATTTAATAGATTAATAACATTACTTACTAACGTAAGGTAGATTACATAACTTTGGAATTTCCTTGCTTTTCTGTGTATTTCCATGCGTTCTATTTTAATAAATTTAGAAGATGCTAAAAGCATACTACGAAACAAGATATGGCATAGAAAAATTTAGTACTTAACAGGGACCTGCAAACAGGTTTGTTTTTTTACTTCTAGGTGTATGCCTTACATATACATGGGTTGCCTCCCTGTTCTAACACTTTGGTAATTTCTTTTCTTTTCAAAAAATGGAAAAAAAAAAAAAAGAGATAAAAAGGAAAGAATGAAGGTGCTATGCCATAATAGTATGAACAGCTAGTTATGATAACTTAGGCTCTCTGTTCTAAATGTAAGGACAACTAAAAGCCTTTGGCTTTGGCAACCAATTACTCTAATGAGATGCGTGAAAACACATCAGTAGATAAAATATGTGTTTCTCACCATTCTGGCATATATCAAAGAATTTTGGCTAAAATCAAGGCCGTTAGAACTTAGGCCACATCATGAGACTTTTTTTTAAAATCCTGATTGGCCCCTATGAGTTATATAAAGAGGCTGAGGTTTTACCCCTGCTGGATGAGGACTTCAACTTTACCAAATGAGCACTATACCAACTGAAGTTTAACATCAAATCTCATACAGCTAGGATCCAACTTTCTGAGAAGAAAAGCCTTATTCGGCATGAAGCAGCAATTAACATAAAAGGATAGAACGTATACCATTAATCAGTTTGGTAAACAAATCAACATATGGGTGGATTTTCAGCTTGGGCTTGCAACACTTTATGGATATTAGCATGCTTGATTTTAGAAAAAAAGGTGTACTTTAACTAGATAAAAATAATGATTGAATAGTTTTTCATTCTCACTAGCAATATAGCATTAAATTTGGTTTGGAACATTGAAATTATTTGCATGAGCTGGCTTATGCACATTTACTTGTGTCTGCAAGAGTTTTCAATGCTGAATAAGTAGGTTCAATCATCGTGTGCAATTATAGTATTGTTTTATTTAACGCAAAGTTCTATTAGTAAAGATGTATTTATTAAATTATATGACCCCTTGAAATCTTGAAGATGGTTGTTTTTCTTACCAGGATGGGGCCCTTAAACCAGCTGAGCTTGAAGATCTTTTTTCTACTGCACCAGAAAGGTAATTAGTATTCTTCATTTCTGCTTTTTTGCTCTGATCTATATTGTAAGCTTTATATATATATGCATTATCAGAATTCTTTGAAAATCATGTGGTGTGTAATTAAGCTACTGTTGCAAAAAGGTTCTGGGTGAGCCCAACGAAGCCACTCTTGAATGAAAGTGCTTATTCACTGATAATCAACTTGAATGTATCGATTGAAAGCAATTTCTAATTTTGGTCAAAATTGAACTAATTCATTGTGTGTTCCAAATGAAGTATATGTTGTAGTGATGGGGACATAGGGGGTTTGCAATTACTGAAACAAAAAGGAAAAATATCGATACATTGAGGCAATGTAGTCTGAAACAGAGATGTATCACCAATATATATGACAGTATTGGGCTTATTGGCTATAAAATCTCATTGAATCTGGCTGGACTTCCACTTTTTCTGTGGCTTAGTTGATAGACATCCAAACACTTCCTGCCATGCCCTTTGGCTTATTTAGCATTTAATTTGGAAGAGATGTTCGGGATTTCTAAAATTTGATATTGAAACTCAGCTGAATAGGTCATTCCTTGATACGTGTATTATGTCGTATTGTTTTACTTATTTTGTCATTCAATGTGCAAATTCAAATAATTTCTCTTCCCTTTTATAATGATGATGGTAAAATGATGTTACTGTTATTATATTTTTTTTTTGGGGATCCTTTTAGCGTTTTGCTGAATGTTAATTTTTCATTCCATATGTTGTTTGTCGAGGTTCAGTTCTTTATGCGGGGAGTTGTGTAGGACTAGGTTTAGTCTTTGTTATCTTTCTTTGTCTTTATTGGTTTTATCATTGTATTTGGGCAGTGCCCCTTTGGCACCTTATTTAATGCAATTTTCTTATTTACTTGTCAAAAAAAGTTGTGGTCCCCACCATTGTTTGTGTTTCATGCACCTTGTTATCTTCAAATTGATCTCCACAGTGGAATGTGCTCCGATCTCTTTTCAATGATGAATCAACTACTTTTTATGTTTGATTTTGATGTGTGGATACACACCATGTTCATCTTCTAGGAATGTCTGCTAATCAAGAGTTTTGGTTTGGTCCTTTCTAGTATTCCACATCTTTGATAAGCAAAGAAACAGCAATTACTATTAGTTGGTACTTGTCTGAGGTAATAGTTTGGACCACAGTTGAGCACATTGTCTAGTTAAATAAGTATTTAATTTTAGAACCATTTTAATATGTTGTGTTTGTCATATTTGAAATCTATGTTATCTATTCAGATAAAATGGCTGCATTTTGAGGCCTTTTCTTGGTTGCATGAGAATTTTCATTTTGGTTTTATTTAATTTTTTTAGCATCACATTTTTAGATAATACATTTTGTTAACCAGTTTGAATTAGTTTGCTTTATAAATGTTTGCTCAGAACATGTATCAGCAATTAGCATTTTCACAGTAAACTAGTAAAGGTAGCAACTTACAACCATTTTCACATGGATTGGAAGCATATTACACTTTTGTTTCATACAAGTACAGAATCAATGTTAAATATACCGGTGTTCCAAGTGAAATTGAGATGTACCCTTACTGTTAATATGCTGCATATATATTGCTGTATTACATGATTAGTGTATATAGTTTTTGCTATTTTTTAATTTTTAATTTTTTTTACTTAGTTATTGATGTAGTTGTTTTTATAATTTCTTCAAATTTTAGTCCTTGGGATGAAGCTCCATATAAGGATGCTGCAGAGAAAACTGCTTTGGGAGGGCTATCACTTGATGGGTTTTTGTCGGAGGCAAGTATTTCGTATTTCTTTTCATTTTTTGGTCATTCATTTCTGCAATTAGCAATACCATGAGTTTTACTTGCATTGTCTAACTGTTGTGATTATATTGATTACTTCACATGTGAAGTTCTACAGTTAAAAATCCAATATGCAGAAAAATTTACAAATGTAATGTTATTTGCTGATATAGAGTTATCTTTCTTTTTCTTTTTGGTTGAATTTTGATGCTACACACAATGGGGGATTGCCCTCTCCTTGACCATGACCCTCCCCACCCTAACTATCACGTATAAAGCAAATTAATTTTTGTAAGAAATAATGTATAGAGAAAGAGAGAGAATAAATTGTATGTATTATTATTGATGAAGACAGTTTACGGAGTCTTGTCACAGGCTAATTAATGATGTGACTGTGTTGTTATTAAGGCTGTAGAATGTCCTGAACTACTGGAGCTTGGTTCAAGAATGACTAGATTTGCACCGCTTCAAACTCATCCACATGATTGATAATGACCTTTCAGATTCTATGGCTCACCAACCTTTTCAACCCAAGCCCTGAGTTTTGCATTACTCGATGATCTGTGCTTTTTAGGGAGGGTAAATTTAGCATTGATAGTTAGGGCTGTATATTGGTTGCATATTAGGCCTTACATTTTTGCAGCATAGCAAAGCCCAAGTATTGCATACTCGATTGTTGGCCTGTGAGAAGTGGGACCGTACCTTTAGCATTGACAGCGTGTGATATAAATATTCAGGTTTACATCACTGTGCTGTTGTAATTGTGCTATAGATTAACTAAGGGCTACAGCTGATGTAGCAAAATTGACTAGTCCCAAAAGTCTGGGTGGGTTAGTGATAATGTGAAATGAACCTATCTATTGTTTAACAATTTAGATAATTATCTTATTAAGGAAGGATTTAAATTCAAAGGCCCCAAATGTCTTTACTTTTTGACCAATCATAACATCACGAACTTTCTAAAATCTGGATTCACTTTTTCTTCTTCGATCTGTTTCACTTTTTGCACTTTTTCCAAGCCGAGCTGCTTGCATTTATCTCGAGCCTTTGCCAATATAAGTTCAAATGTCATTGACCGAAATTTTTACAAACTTGACATGAGCCCAAGTCTGACCAAAGTACCAAGATGAGTCTAATCAATTTGATACTCAGCTCCAATAGGATTGGATTGGTTACACCAGTAGACTAGCTGTGGTGCTAGATGTGCCAACTTGATGTATTGTCTTTACGGAATTTAAGGACTCATACTGGTATCAGAACAAAGCATATATCTGAATTGTTGCTGTATTTATTGATCAGCAATATCTGAATTGTTGCTGTTGGTATGTGACTAGTATTTTTTTCAGGCAACAGAGTCACAATTTTTTGAGGTCTTGTTAACATCAAAATTCAACATATCTCATTGTTAAACCATAATGCATATGCCCAAACACATTTTTTTTTTTCTTTTTTCATGCAACACGTATTCTGATTTTTCTGTGACAAGTTTGTGGTGTGCAGTGGGCCCTTATGACACTTCTAGACCCAATTCGTAGTGTGGAGAATCTTATATATATTGGATATGCCGGTGATCCTTCTTCTGCCATTCATATCACTTGGAAAAGACATTTTGCACGTAGAAAGCAACAATCTGACAGAACTGTTTTCCAGTGTTTAGTTTTGGGGCCAAAGAAGGCTGGAAAATCTGCATTATTGAATTCTTTCATTGGAAGGTGCTTTTTTTTTTTGTCGAATCTGTATCTGACAAGCTTGTTTGTCTTTGCCAATTTTAAATCTGATCACCTGGTAGTTTATCTATGTTTTTCAAGTCTTACAAGGTATATTGTTGATGTCTAAAATGTAGGCCTTTCTCTGGTATCTATACTTCAACCACTGATGAGCGCTACACTGTCAATGTTGTTGATCAGCCTGGGGTAAGTACTATGACATTATGACAATGTGGCTTGCTAGTTTATAAACCTCTCTTCCCCATTTCCTGTGTGTGCGCGTAACACATGCAAACCTACTAAGTTGTCACTTTCAAATTTAGAGAGTCAAATTTTTGGAGCTTTAGTTTGACTACATTTTTTTCTATGACTTTTGAGGCATGAGTGTTGCACTTAGTCGTGGACAATGGTTTCAGATGCAACAAATTTCAAATTATTGATGTTGTGAAATGTGGTACATGCACATATATGTGCTTTTCATGTGAATGAATATACTTGTTTATTTTCTTTCTTTATTTTCTTGAGGGAAAGGGGAGGGGGGTTTATTCCATAGATTAAAATTGTATATATACTCAACTCAACACGCCTTTGTCCAAGTTACTTGGGTTTGGTTATATGGATTCATTTCATTTTAGTTGGCTCTATTTGACATATCCTCAGTTAATGTTTAAAGCAATTATGTCTTTTAGCCAACACAAAATTTATAGACACACATTTATGAACATAGATCTTAAGATTTTAGTTGGGGCGCCCCTTATCTCCTCAACCTGTATTCTTCTTGACATTCCTTTATTTCTTTTACACTGTACACATGGATCAAATCCCTCGTCCTTATAAGTGCATTAGTTGGTCTACTATGCACATGACCATACCATCTCAAATGGTTTTACCTCATTTTGTTGTCAACTGGTGCCACTTTTAACCGTCTTGTAATGGATGCATTTATTATTTTATTTTTTCTTGTAATACCACACTACCACATGAATATTATCATTTCTACTAAACTCAAATTCTAAGAATCTAAGCATGTTTCTTTTTTCTTTTGTTTTTTTATAAATAAATAAACTCGATTGAGAAAGCATTAAGATGATGCAAAGAATACAAAAGCACCTCTTTTGAGGGGGAAAAAACTAAAAGCACCTAACCAATAACATCATCCAAGAAATCTGAAAAAACAAATATATCTGGATCAACCTTCCTCTCCAACCAACTATACAAAACTACTAATAAAGGACTCTCAAGCCAAGACACACAATGATGAACCTCTTGAAACGTTCGCTTATTCCGCTCCAACCAAACCAACCACATCAAACCAAACCAACCACATCAAACATAACGGCACCAACAACCATACTTGCTGCCGCTAATGCCTAACCTGAGCCGCCCTCCAACTCCAAAGCATCTCCATCACCCCTTTCGGTTGAACCCAAACAATCCCAAAGCAACAACACATAAGCCCCCAAAACCGCGAAGCCACTGAATAGTGAAGAAACAAATGATCCACCGCTTCCACATCAACACAACACATACAACACCAATTCAATAAAATCTGATCACACTAAACCAAATTATCAATCGTAAGAGTGCGACCTAAATCAACTGTCCACATAAAGAAAACCACCTTAGACGGAGCTCCTAGCACCCAAGTACTCCGCCAAGGAAAGACTCACCCCACCTCCCCCACCTAACTTTGATAAAATGATGAAACAGAAAACTGGCCCTTAGCTCCCACACCATTCCACACCAAGACATCCTTCCCCACTCCCGTAATCCCCAACCCATATAAGAAACTCAACAAATTCACCAACTGATCAACCTCCCAATCCTGAACTTGCCAACGCAACTGAATATCCCAAACCCGAGCCGCCCTCCAACTCCAAAGCATCTCCATCACCGCTTTCGGTTGAACCCAAACAATCCCAAAGCAACAACACATAAGCCTGCACAACCGCGAAGTCACTGAATAGTGAAGAAACAAATGATCCACCGCCTCCACATCAACACAACACATACAACACCAATTCAATAAAATTGATCACGTTAAACCAAATTATCAATCTTAAGAGTGCGACCTAAAGCAACTGTCCAAATAAAGAAAACCACCTTAGACGGAGCTCCCGGCATCCAAGTACTCCGCCAAGGAAAGACTCGCCCTCCCCCACCTAACTTTGATAAAACGACGTAACAGAAAATTGGCCCTTATCTCCCACACCATTCCACACCAATACATCCTCCCCCACTCTCGTAATCCCCAACCCAAGTAAGAAACTTAACAAATCCACCAACTGATCAACCTACCAATCCTGAACCTGTCAACGCAACTGAATATCCCAAACCACCCCATCCCCACCCCCATTCCCATCCCTCAAACAAGAAGCCACTGTAGCCTCCTGATCTACAACAATGTTGAAAATCAAAAGAAAACATACCTCCAACAAAACCTCACCACACCACCTATCCCTCTAAAAACGCGCACTCGCCCTTCAACCCACCCGAAAACCCAACATTTTGTATCATATATAATAGTAGGTCTTATTGCCATCTTATTAAATTTTTTCTTCGACTCAGTAACAATATTATTACACACATACGTTATTCATTTAATTCATTTTGCTCTAATTCTATGGGTTACATCCTCCTTAATTTGAACCCAATATATAGAAATGGTTGTTCTTAAGGCTAAGTTTGGGTACTCCCAAAAAAGCCAAAAAGTCAAAAAGTTACTCAAAAAGTTAAAAAATTAACACTATTCACCAAAAGTCAACAATTACGGCTGCACAACTCCCAATTCAAATTTTTCTCTACAAATCAATTTTTACAATTTTTTATTACACATTTTTCAATAAAAAGTCAAAAAGTTAACCCAAACATCCATATTTTCAACCTCAATTTTTTAGTCCAAAAAGACAAAAAGTGCACTTATTTAGTCTTCCCAAACTTGGCCTAAGTATCTCTTGGGCCTACACATTTCTTACTTCCTGGCCCCCCTCTGAATCCGCATTTAAAAACATGGCCTTAGATTCTCAAGTCTCTCCCCGTAGTTTACTCTCCGCATTATCTTCTTAGAAAACCAATCATATGCATTTTCTAAATCAATAAACACCATATGGAGTTCTTTTTTATTATTATTTTTTAAATTTTTGCTATATTTTTCCATAATATAAGAAGAAAAATTAACTTTTGTAGTAGATATTCTAGCCACAAAATCGAATTTGATCTTATGAAATTATGGTCATCTTAGTTCAATTGTAATCTTCCAAAGTTTCATTGTATTACTCGTAATTTTTACACCTTGATAGTTGGTGCAATTGTGAATATTACCTTTATTCTTATTGTATTGGAACAAATGTACTTATTCATTTAGCATTTTCTTAGCATTCAAGATTTGTTAAACAAATTAGTCAACCAAACAGCCCCTTTATCACCCAGACACTTCCAAACTTCATTAGGAATTTCATATGGTCCTATAGCTTTTCCCATTTTCATGTTCTTCATAAACTTCTTTACTTGCACCACTCTAATTTTGTGAAAAAGTTATATTTAATACTAAATTTATTATGTTCTCCTAACCTAAAGAGTCCTGAGTTTTTTTTTTCCCAGTTAAAAAGTTTCCAAAATAACTCCCATTCCTTAATCTATTGTCATCCTCTCCCTTAATATACTCAATGTAGTTTAGGTGTCTAGTCTTTACCTTTTTTCTCTTACCTAGCAAGTTTTTATATACACATGTATCTTTTCATGCACCCTAAGAACATAACTTAAGATAAAGATCATTATAAGTCTTCTTCTTAGCATTTTTAACTTCTTTCTTAGGCCTCGTTTGGAAACAGGCTAATTTAGTAACTTTTTGGCTATTTGGCTAAAAAGGTAAGTAAAAAAAACTTGTATGTTTGGGATGACTTTTTGGCTAATTACGAAAAGATGTGCAAAAAGTAGAGAGAAAAGAGAATCTTTGACTTTTTTGTATGGGTTGTTGGCTTTTTGGCTAATTTAGTAACTTTTTGGCTTATTGGCTAAAATAGCCTCTTGCCAAACGAGGCCTTAGTATCTGTTTGGCTTTTTGGCTAAAAGGGGTACTTGCCAAACGAGGCCTTAGTCACAGGTTTGGCTACTTTATACCTTTCAGAAGTTTTATTGTTCTTCATGTATATAAAGTTTTGAATATACTGTCCTGTGAGTGCATCATAAAATACTCAACAGTTAAGCAAGGAGCATTTTTACTATGGTTTCAATTTAGAAATACGTTATTCCCACTGTTTTAAGAACTTCAGATTATAAATTATAAGTGGCCATATATACAGTTCCCAAACATTGTTGGACACTTGTGGAGACTTTTTGCATTGACAAGTTTTTGGTATGTTAATGATGGACATGTAGAAGTTTTCAAATCTCTATATCTTGTGAAGGTTTTATCTGACAACCTTGTTAACTTTGGCCCATAAGGATGATGGTATAAGTTACATGAGTATCAGATCTAATAGGAGAACTAGTTTTTTTGACAAGGACTAAGGGACATTTAAACTAGACATGACATTAAGATAAACTAATTACCTGAAAGTAGCTCATGACATTAGGATTTAAGCCTCTCAATAAAACCTTTAACAGAACCCTTCCAGGTTTCAGCAAATCGTCAAGTTATATATCATTGGCTTGCTTGCTGGCAGAGCTGCTGTCTTTTGTTTTGAACTCATCTCCCCATCCCTGAGCCACTACTGTGTTCTGGACTGGGAATCCATTGAGTGGTTCTGATGCTCATTCATTCTTTTTCGAAAATATCTGTTCAAGGTTAACTGTAATGCCAGGTCATGTATCTTATCTTTGTTCTTCTTGAAGTATTTTATTTGATCCATCCCGGTGTATAGCCTACTTCAGAACGACATTCAAACTTGGTTGCTTCAACCCGTTCTGAAATTCCTTGCGGCTTTGGTTCTAATCCATTTTTTGGTTCAAAACCTTGTCTTGACATTTCCCTCTAAACAAAGGGTCCTTTTTTTGATACCTGGAAACCTAACTGATTGATGGTCCATATGATTGGCCAGTCTTGTCTGGTTTTTAAAAATTTATGATTTATGAAATCATGACAATATATATAAAGACTACAGCTCGCTAGAAAGCACGGATACGGATACGAGGTATGGATACGATACGATATGATACGGATACGGCAATACAGCAAAACCTAAAAAAATAGGATACGGGTACGGCTAGACTACGCTTGTAAAAAATAAAAAATAAAAAAATTATTAGCAGTGAGTTACACATAAGCTCAAGAATGTTGAGAAACTACAGTAACTTTATGATGCAAAATACTAATCTTTAAGAATTAGGTATTAATTTAAGGCAATAGCTAGTTTAGTTTTTAAATTTTCAATAGGTCTTGCAAATATTTCATTTCAATATCAAGTCTAATATGTTGATATTATAATATCAAAACAATCCACAACTTGACTCTATGCTTTTTCTTCTTACACTAGTAAAAAATATTCTATGCAAGTTTATTTACTTATTTATTTATTGATATTTAATTTTACTATTGTTATATTATCTTATTAATCTTTACTTCTATGTAGTTATAGGGGACATGCATGATACAATGAAGATATGCCAATTTGATGAATTCTATTACTTTAGCTTACTATGTTATTTTTATAAAAAAACTAAGCAAAGTATTGGAAAAATATTATATTTATCCTCGCAATTATATTATATTATGATGTTATGCAAGAAATTATATAATTCTAATTTCGGAAAAGGAGTAATATGTGACTTGGAGCATTTGATGCTTCAAAATTAATTAAAAGTATCTGATAATGTGTGACTTGGAGCATCCAATACTTCAAAACTAAGTATTTGATACTTTAAAATTAATGAAAAATTAATTAAGAAGTATCCGATACTTTTAATAAGTATCTGATACGTATCTGTAAGTATCCAAGGAGTATCGGTATCCGATACAGATACGATACGGATACGTCTTCCTATTTGAAGTATCCGTGCTTCATAGATTACTCGTCTTCTGTACCAGCATAAATTCTTACAGAAATTAAAACTCAAAGTAACGAATATTTTATCGAAGTTAGAAATACTAACCTTACAATTAGGATAGCACAAAAATTCCTCTATCAATTTCTAATGGCTTAATGTCAAATGCTGCTTTTGTGACTAAAATGCAGTGGTACTTTTTTCTTTCTCGTGTGAAAATTTGAATATTCTCTTTTGGTTTTTCCATTGTTATTTGTATTTTTCTTATTTTATTTGTTCCTGAAGCAGTTCAAGCTCGTTAAGATATATTTTGTTGTGTTGACAGGGAACTAATAAAACTCTTGTATTGCGAGAGATACCTGAAGATGGAGTTCAAAAATTATTGCCTAAGAAGGATTTTTTGGCAGCCTGCGACATAGCAGTATTTCTTCATGACAGGTAGCTAAAATGCTATTGTTTTTGTCAGATTTAGTGTTGCCAAGTAGAGGGTGATGTTTGTTTTTGTGGTTAATCGTTAATATATTCTTCTCATATATCCAACAACTTCAAACATGAGAAATTCGAATTCTATGTTTTTTGGTTTGGAAACTTGGATATATTTTGCTTATTATTATATATTATAGTCTTTTTAAATAACTCTTAATTGAAAATTGAAAGTAATTGGGTTTTGAATTTTACGTTATTTGGTTTGCAATTGGATATATAGCTTAATATTGTATTTTTATATACTCTTTTGCTAATAATTGAAAGTAGTAGCTTCTAAAGTATACAAGTATTCCTAATTGAAAGTGGTCATGTTTATTTTATTTATGTATTCATGATTGGTCAACAATTTCTAAATCATGTTCCCATCAATGGTAAAGTGAATCTAAAAGGATGGTATATTAAGCATTTATTAACAAATTTTGGATGATATTTTATTCCAGGGGTTGTCATATTGTTATTATGTTAATAAAGCTTTTATCCCTTGTATTTAAAATATATATATATATATATATTTGCATTTTATTGGAACCCCATTATAATAGTTAGCCTCTGCTGTAGTTCAAATTCTTGTTGATTCACTCCTTTGTTTTGTGCTATGTTACATGGACTCGGGTACAGAGTGCGTGTGCGTATTTAGAGGTCGGACTCATCAAATCTCAAATTCAAGAGTGCATGGACTCGGCAAAAAAGAGTCATAGTTTTATATTTCTAATCTATTATGTGAGATAAAATGGTACTATATGTAACATAGAATGTCAAAAAAGGTACTTATAGCAATTACACAACAAAAGATACATATGAGATAGTGTTAAATACGAATATATGAGAAGTGTCCAATGGAAAGTATCGGATGCCACACCCTTGTCTGAGTGTTGAGTGTCCGGCATGGATATTTAATTTATTTTGTAGAATCTATGTAACATAGGTTTTGTAGATTAACGTTGACTAGCGTTATAAATAGAGATATGAATCTACTTAATTTGACCAATGAAATGGCCTTTGATAGGGCCGCGTGGAGAAGAAGGATTCATGTAGCCGACCCCATTTGATGGGACTTAAGGCTTCGTTTGGTTTGGTTTGGTTTGGTATGTAACATAGGTTTTGTGAAAGATTGACAGATCTAGAATTGGACCAAACCTTTTATGTCAACAATATATTGATCTTTGTGCCAAAATATCTTTTAAGTACACTGTTAAGTATGGACACTGTTGTAGAGATGCTATGGTGTTGCTTGATAGGCATTGGAATTGGACATAGACACAGCTTGGACATACTGTCTGACACATGCTCTATTGTAGAAGTTTGAGATGATTCCTTTAATTTTGGACATATCATGGACCCACATTATATGTAAGATTAAATCTTCTTGCTTATGAGCAAGCCATGTGGAGTGCGATTGGTGTTGAGGAAAGATCTTTTGAATAAGCAAGCAACAAGGACTGTAGGTTTGTCAATATTTGCAAACCTTTATTGATTTACGTTTAATGGTATGAGCTCTGCTAACCCCCATCATCTGCGAGGTGTGGGCATGATGCTGTACATGAATTTGATAGGACATAGGCACATATTAAGTCACATCTTAAAAAAGAGAAATTGGGACATGACAGGGACATGTATATGTGAAACAATATTCAGTAATATGCTTGCAACAGTTGTTGAAGGGTATGTTCTAAGATTTTTTTTTTTGTTTATTTATAATATATGTTTTTAAATAAAATAATAAAATTGAATACTTCCATACAAAGGAAAGGAAATATTCATGTAGTAGTTTAAATGAATGCTTTATTGTTTATTACAAAAAAAGATATGCTTTCTGCCTTGATAAAAGACATTACAAGGCCTGGTGCATGATTACATGTCAATGAATTTGATGTAAGTAGTTCATGTAACCAAGTTAAAAAAGCACGATATTTAAATTGATTTTTTTTACGTCTTGGGAATAAATAAATGAACTTCAATTATTATGGCAGCAAAGAAGAAAAAAAAAGAGAACAAACTCTTCACGTGCAAAGTATAAAAGTGAATCCCCCTGTTCCCCCTTTATATCTTGAATAAGGTACCACACCCAAAAGGTTCAAAGAATAAAAATAAACAGGGAATGATTACTTTTTTTTTTTTTTTTGATCAACGAAAGTTAGTTGTTAGTTGTTAGATTAGTACCTACAGGAGTTGGTCTCCCCACCCATTGTAAAGCACTAACTGCTTGCCTTCTTAATTCAACTCCCCTAGAGAGAGTTGAACCCATGACCTCCCCCCTAGAGACCAAGCCCTTAGGAAAGTCATAGTGGCCAACTAGGTTACGCCTAGTTAATTAATAGGGAATGATTCCTTAAGCCACACAAATAGACTTTCAAGAGCCATGGGGCATCCCTTTGGGCTAGAAATCTGAAGCTCCTTCCCCTCAAAAAGATCTCTCTCTCTCAACACACCACATATCACACAAAATAACATAACCTTCCATTCCCTCCTCTCACTTATACACTAGTATTTGATGACATTATCTTTAATTCTATTTTTTTTTCTTCTAAAGAAGAACTTTTCCAATTTATAATTTTATAACCCCTTGTATTTGCATAATGATAGCTATATATATATGCATTGTTAATGCTATGAAAAAAAAAAAACTCATTCTATTTGTAATAATGATAGCTATATTCATTGTTAATGCTATGAAAAATCCTTATTCCTAATTTCTAACTACTTATTGAACCATCTTTCTTTTTTCTTTTTAATTTGTTAAATAAGCTCTTTTAATATAGTTTCTAACATCAAGTTGTTCGAGAAACACCATACATTTTTTGACATGCACAGAGTCTGTTTTGTCCCCTGCTATGCTATCTTGAATGCTTGGAAGTTTTGGCCTGTCAAGGTGTTCATGCTTTATAGTATGCATGTATGCAAATGTTTGTGTATTATAGCAGCATTTTCACACTGAATTTTCATGAATTAATGCTTTTACTTTTCCAGTTCTGATGAGTCCTCATGGAAGAGAGCAACTGAATTGCTTGTGGAAGGTGCTAGTCATGGAGAAGCGACTGGCTATGAGGTGCCTTGCCTCATTGTTGCAGCTAAAGATGATCTGGATCCATTTCCAACTGGGATACATGATTCAACAAGGGTAGAGATCTTCACAACTGGCTATATTTCTTTTCATACTTGAGTACACTAGTTTGATCACCCAGGCATGTTATTATGATGATTTTAATATGGAGACAGCTGTACTGGAGACTTGGGATTAAATTTGCCTTCAGTTTGGGTTTGAGGATTTATTGATGGGGAAGGGATACCCCGAGTAGCGGAGCCTCATAAAGTGCCCTCCCAAAAAAATTTAAAAATTTTGGCTGTTATAAATAACTTGTACAATTGCCTCCTAAATTTTTTTTATTTGCTCTCTAAATGGTTTTTATAATCCCACTTTTCTTTGGGTGATTCTATTTACACACTAGCCTTTGTCTCAGTACACCATTTATCTTGTTCGGATATCAATTGTCGAACAAAATACAAATGTTTAGATATCTACTCCTGAACAAAATATAAATGTTTGGATGTCAACTGTGGAACAAGTTTTTTGTTTAAACAATTGATTTTCATTTAGAAGTTGTTTTTGTTCGGAGGTTGATATCTGAATGACACAAATGGTTTGAACCGAGATAAAGTATGGTTGATTTTCTTTTGTTCTTTTTACAATAAATTCCCTATAACCATGGACTTTGGTCAAAACAAGTATGTTTACCATATTTATCAAAAAAAAAAAAAAAAAAAAAAAAAAAAAAAAAAAAAAACAACGAACAAGTATGTTTACCATGTGTACATTGTGGAGACAATTTAAAAGTGGGACGTGACACGCATCTACCACTTAAAAAACTAGACTTTTCTCTATAGAGTAATTAAATTAAAACGTGTAGAATCCACTCTCGACTCCAATTCTTAAAATTGCAAGGAACCCAGTCTCTCCATTTATCTGCTGCTTTCATGTAAACTGGTGAACTCTTCCTCACCCATTTAATTTTTTCTAGGGGTGAGCATGGTCCGGATTGGACCGGATTGGTGTAAAACCAGGACCAATCCGTTATTTACGGTTCCTGAAAAATTAGAACCAATCCAATCCGTTTAAATCATGGAACCAATCCGAACCAATCCATTTAAATACGGATTGGATCGGTTTAGGACCACGGATTCACATAATTAAATAATAAAAAAATATATATATATAACACTTTAATTTCATAAAAACATAAACATAGCACTATATTAGTTCCACAATAGCAATATGTCTTTATAATAGCAACATACTGTTATAGAATTTAAACAACCATAAGAAAATTAGTTTCACCATAAATATTTAGACCATTACAAGTTAAAACTAAAAACTAACAAACAAAAGTAATAAAAGAAGATATTAAACGGGTTTAGGTTTGAGTTTAGGTTTTATATGGAATAAGCGAAGATACTATGGGTAAGGATGTATAATAAAAATATAGACTATTTGTATACGGTCCGGACCGGTTCCAATCCGGAACCGTGGGGTTCAATCCGGAACCAATCCGTGGACTACGGATTTTTAATTCTTCAATCCGGAACCGAACCACGGATTCAAAAAACCAATCCAAACCTATCGGATTGGACTGGACTGGATCGGATTACGGATTTCACGGATTCCTTGCTCAGCCCTAATTTTTTCTACTCCCTCTCTCTCTCTCTCTCTCCCTTTTATCTGTTGCTTTCTTTTCAGTGACAGATCTCTGCTTTACCTATCTAATTCTTTTAACAATTGGGTTGATTTTTTAATTTCTGATTTGAAACAAATTTGTTGATTTTTATTGCTAAATTTGGTTTTGTGCTTGTTTCAATTTATGTAATAATAGGAGGAATAGGACAGTAGGAAGACCCTGATTATAAGTTAATGTGTTGTTAGATTTGTTGTTATTTTTATTCATTTTTACTGTTCTTGACACATCAACTATATATTTTGCTTCCGCAGGTAAGTCAGGATATGGGAATAGATGCTCCTATACCTCTCAGCACAAAGCTGGAAGACTTTAACAATGTGTTCCGTAGGATTGTGACTGCAGCAGAACGCCCTCATTTGAGCATTCCTGAAACTGAAGCTGGCAGAAGTCGCAAGCAATACCACAAGCTTATTAATCGCTCCCTGATGTTTGTATCAGGTAAATTAACGTTTAAAATTTTGTTATCATTGGGCTGCTAAGTTTTTCCTTTTATTAGAATCACTGGATCCATAAGAGTTTGCTGCATGTTGTTGTTGGTGTTTTATATGCACATATAAATGTATGCAGGCATCTTATACCCATGGTTGTTAGAATCTTACAATTCAGGATTTGGTTAATATGACTGGATTCGAGTTTCAACCAAAATAATTTGATTTGTGCTTGTTGAATCTTAAATTGAGTGAATTATATGATTCAATTGTGATTCACTACTATTCGTTATGATTCGTGCGATTCAGTTTTGACAGCATCGTTTCCGTAAAATAAAAAGTGTTCAATTAATTATTTTGATATATGTGGTTTTATATGTATATTCATATATATATGATTTAGTTGTGTTGATATTTATTTCAATTTAAATAGTGTGTATATTTTTTTATGTATATACATATTTAAAATTATATATTATGCGAAATAAAGTGAACCTTATGATTCACGATTTGATACAATCAACGATTCACTATTTTAGCAAAATTCACTATTCGATTTGCAATTTGATAACAATGTTTATACCTTCATTGAAATCATTGTAAATATTCTCATCCTTACATTTGCTTTGAACATTTGTTTCAAGGGCCTAAGTATCACAATTTTGGGGTGGGGGTGGGTATGAAAGGCTTAAGGATCACTAATTTGTCCAAACTGAGTGTCTTCTTGGCCATACCTTTGTTGTGGGGGTGGGGGTGGGGGTGGGTATGAAAGGCTTAAGGATCACTAATTTGTCCAAACTGAGTGTCTTCTTGGCCATACCTTTGTTAGTCCTGCCAAGGTGTGTATTGGACACCAACTCTTGGCATTATTTGCACAAAGTTTGTACTCTCAAATTGGAACCTGCTTTTTATTTTAATTTTACTTTTGGATAGTAAACAGTGGAACCTTTGTTCTTGTAGTCTTTTGGAATAAATTAAAGGGAAAATTTCACTTTATCTCTCTATGGCTCACCTCTCTGACATTAGGAATTAAGCACATAACTTTGCATGGTTTGTGGACTAATGTTCACCACCTATATCATTAACTGCTTAAGACAAAAGACTTAAATACCTTTGTACATATGTAACCTCGTTGTGTAAACCACAAGCATTTTTACCATTTTTTGGGACACACAATACACTTTAACCCCCTTTTGTCCAAGTACGTGGTTCACACTAATGTTAACTTGGATGAAATCTCAGACGGTGCACACTAATCCACAAATCATGGAGCGTTATGTGCTTATTTCCCAAATGACAGTGGGGCTAAATTAAATATATTATGGGTTTTGCTGTTTCAGCAAGAGATTCGGCATATGCAGATTCTTTTTTTTCATAGTCGATTAGGAGATAATTGGTCAGATGATTCTTTCGTCTGCTATTACAGAGTAACACGATAATGATTACATATTGTGCTTGTTTCTCTTCTACGTTAGGTTTTCTAGGCAGGTAATGCTTTATCTCATTTTTTCCACCCGAGTTGACAAATAGTGTCTTTCAATACTTGCAGTTGGAGCTGCAGTAGCCGTTGTTGGGTTGGCAGCATACCGTGTTTATGCAGCAAGGAAAAATGCCTCCAGTTAAAGGGTGAAGGATTGTGCCAGCTCTATTTGCACGTTATCATAGCAAGTTCGAATCGACTGTGTTGGATTACATTTTTTGGACCCCCACATTGTCTATGTTTCTCAAGATAAATAATAGTTTTAATTTTTATTTTCTAGGTAGAGAATTTGCAATTTTCATTTGGAAAGTAGCACACCTCAGAAAATCTACCATATTAGCTCTCTTATATTCATTGTAGGGCTTACTCCCAATATTTACTAGTAGGCTTTTCTCTCTATATAGATGGGTTTCCTTGGTGGGAAACACATGTGAGAAAGGTGCTTGTGCATTGACATTGTGCAGTAAATAAAATTTTGAAAATGTATGATCTGAGCTTTGTTAGTTGCCTTCTTCAAATTTTTTGTTTTATTTTATAAAATGTGAGTCTGAAAGTTGTCCCTGTATACTTCTTGTGGACCTGTGGTAATGTGTGGTCTTTAAATTATTTTTATTTTTTATTATTTAAAAGGGTAGTACATGCAAGTAGATACTGTCCTAGAATGTGGGCAATGCATTTTACAGTAGTGCCCAGCCCAGTTACTCACTGGATAAGTCACCGTGCAACCATGGTGCGGCAAGGTGTGAAACTGTACTACAAGTGATGATGAAGATTTTTGTGCTGTTCTACATTTGCTTCGGAAAATATTTCTAGAATAAACATTTTTGTTTGGTTTGTTACCTTTTTTTTTTTTTTTTTTTTTTGAACAGGGTTTGTTTTTTTAAAAATAATATGCTATGCTAGCGGTTGTGGTAGTGCCGTAGTAATGGTGGTGGTAAGTGGTGGCTGCGGCAGTTGTAGTGGTGATAGAGATGTATTGGTGGTGGTGATGACATTGGTGGTGGGGTTGGCAAAAGCTCTAGTTCAAAAAATGATTATACTTTTTAATAAATAGAAAACCATTTACATTCAAATCAGTTGTACTTTTTGTTGATCTAGATTCAATTTTTTTTTTTTTTGGACTTAGTTTTTGCCCTATCAAATTAATTTTTATTCGGTCAGCCCCATCCCTACCCTCTCCTCTCCCAAGCCCTTACACCACCCTTCTCAGCCTCTTTATCGATTCCCCCTTTTCCCACCTTTGTGAGGGAGATCATGACTAGAGAGGGATTGACGATCTATGGTTTCCGAAGGGATTGGGGGTGCTGTGGTGGTACAGGGAAGGCGTTGCAGTGTCACAGTTGTGGCAGTAGGAAAGCAGGCTGGGGTGGGGGCAGTGTTAGAGTTGGTTATAGGGTTGGTTAGGGAAGAGCTAGAAGAGGAAGAGGGGCAAGGTTGAGAGAGGGGCATTTTTGTCATTTCATAAGTGGATTTTGCCTTTCGTAATTATTTTTGATTCTCTATGTTTTTCTAATTCTTTTTTTAATATTTTTTTGGCTTCAAATGTAATTGAACATCTTACCTCAATCACAACCAAATTTTATATTATTTATTATTTATTTTGAGAATTAATGAATGCTTTTTTCTTTTTTTTGAGAACCCAGAATTTTGGTTTAATGAATTTTTCAGAATTAATTAATTTTAAGGGATGGTGAACGCTTGAAATTGGAATTCAGGAACCTTTTATTACTCAACTTTAAGCTTTAATTTGTATGTTAAATGCTAAAATGAATTAGAATTAATAAATAGGACCTGCTTTGGTTATTAAATTCATTTATTAAATATATTATATAATGTAATTTTTTCCCTTCCCTTGAAAGGGTGATGCACAGGTGCTTAGTTCGGTCTATTTTTTTTATATCTCCCCATGAATTGAATGTTTGTAACAATAGGAACAAAATTTTCTCAATTCCAATCGATTAGGCTTGATTCTTCTGTGCTCTAATGGCTAAAATTCTTAAACTTTGAGGTGGTGCATTTGAGGACCACTTTATGCAAATAATGCTACAAGGATTAAATTTGTATTCAATGTATTCTTCCTAGAACCTAAATAATGAGGACTAAACTTGAATGTACATTTTTTATGCTGGATCTCCTCGATTCTTATTTGATGTTTTTATTTCTTTTTAGCAATGTTAGATGTATAGAAAATTTGAGAATAAGATGCACCACCTTCAAGTGAGTTTTTGTACATTCTGTACACAAATTTTTTATGTAAATAGTATTTATGTGGGCTCACCTTTATGTGAGAGTTTTTGTGCATTCTATGTATAGATTTTTTGTGTAAATAATATTTCTCATTTCTTATTCAGAGCTCCTTTTTGACAAAAATGAACGGACATATTTCAATAAATTTAAGATTCAAACACATTATCAATGTTTAATAGTTGAATAAGGAGCAGCTGGAACACTAAAAATTCTTGTAACGACACCTCGACTATTAATGAATATCACTTTATCTTCTTATCTATGAATCAGTACAATATAACCCCTTAACTATGAAAATCATACAAATATATCCATTTTAGAGGGGGTCTAAAGGGGGTGAAAATGAATTTTTTTTAGTTGAAAATGTCAAAATATAGGATTCATAGATGAGAAGATAAAGTGATATTTGTTAAGAGTGAAAGGGATCTTGGTGTAAATAAACCTTTTATAAAAAATTCACCCATCCCAACATTCAGTTATAATTGCATATACACCCACAAAAATGTCTCTCCCATGCTCTGCATAATAAGCTGTGTCTATACTCATCATGTTCTTGTCATTTCATTTTGTTCAAGTAAGCAACTCTTCACATTCTTATAATTTACAAAGCTAATAATGTCAAAATGATTTTTCTCTTTTCAATCCTGTTTTGTATCATACAATGATCTAACATCACAATTTTAGAGGGGGTTTTACCACATTCTGGGCTCTACAAATGTACCCTGCAATGGTGGTTGGGTGCACAGTTCAGTTGGGTTCTGCTCTTTCAGTCCATCCACAGATGGAGCTTAAATCGGTTGTCGTTCAATCGCGACCTTTATTGTAGCTTTCTAGTAACAAACAGTAGCTGTTGAAAGTCTCAAGAGTTACATGTAATCTGAAGTGTATATCAAACATAAACTTCACCTCCAAATTGTTCATCTCTGCTGTGCTCACTCCTCCCACTTTCGCATAATACTTGTTGTTGTAACATCTAGCACAAAATAAAATCACGTCACTTAAAAAAAACAAACACTCAAGCTAAAATACACTAACAGTCTTTAAAGTATGTGCTCCGTGTTACTTTGACCTTTAAAATTTACATTTTGTCAATTTTGTACTTCAAACTTTTAAAATTGAGTCAAATTGATCTAATTATATGCCGTTGTCAAAATCATTACATAAAATTCAACTATTGGTTGCTAAAGTGTTCTTTCTCATTTAAGTTTCCAAAGTTATAATTTTGTTTGACAATACTGTAACGTTATGTTTTGTCGTCTTCATTATTGTTTAGGGATCAAAGTGACAAAATAAAAAAGTAAAAGGATTAAAATAATATGAAACCCATTCTTTGGAGACTATGCGTATTTCATAATATTTCATTAACAATTTAGATGGTGTGTTCGCAATTGGATTAAATTAACTCAAATTTAAAACTTTTAAGGATGAAAATGAAAAATTTAACTTTGAAGGAAAAATGGATGACAATAACAAACACATTGCTGATGAATATCATACATTCCCTCTTCTGATTCTCCAAGTCATGTTCGTTCATGAAATTTTTTCATGGTAATTGATTTAGAATAGTTTAAAAAACACAGGACAAATAAGCTTTGCAAAAACTATAACATCTGATTTGCAAAAAATTAAGACATACTTCTAAACAATTTTGGCAACATGAAAATGAATACTTACTCATCATCAAGAAACTTTGCAGCTAACATAACACTAGTAATTAGTAGCCGGTGAGCATTGAGTGAAGTTAACCGGACATTTCTCTCTTGAAGAAACCGACCAAGGTATATATAGGCAACAACAAAACAGGAAGGGCTGCAACTTGAGTACTTGAATATGCGCTCGATGTATTGCCCAATACTCAACCCAGGTGCTGTAGAACCATTAAAGATGGTGATGACATCTCTCCCACCCGATGCCTTGAATGATCTTTCGTTCTTCTGAATGGTTCTTTCGAGAAGTGAGGAGAGAAGTGATAGTACTCGGGGAGTTGGAGAAACTCCTTTTTTGTATTCAACTAGTCCCAAATTTAAATGAGACCTATGTCCTAAAAACTTGCAGTTGAGGGTTTTTGTCTCCATATCTGCCCCAAGCTGCAACATATTACAATATATAACAATCAGTCATTAGCACTAAGTTTACATCCTCGAATCTCAAATTCCATGACCTTAATTGAACACAATCTGTTCTATAGGCTTGTACCTCTGTATCCTTGACTTCTAAAAAATAAAAAAAAATTCTAAAATTTCAAATTTCACTGTTTTTCTTGCACCATTGAAAAACGGTGAAATTCATCTGGTGACAAAGGTTATTTTCCGTCAATAAATCATGCTGCAAAAACTTTTCTTGGTGACAGAAAAGACATCATTTTTTTTTTCTTTTTTATATTTTATATTTTAATTTTTGAGTATTTTCCTAAGAAACAAGATGTGGAAGAAGTAGAATAAGTGAACTTAAATCCATGGTTATAGTTGTAATGATTCATTAGAATCCTTTCTATTATGGATTTTGCTATATATTTTGGAATTCATGCAATGTTCAGAACAAGAGAAATTAAAGTTGATTAAGTTATGATCATAGCCAATTTAAGAGTAAACATAAACATCAAAACAAAGTTTAAACACATATAAATATGTGAAAGTAATACTGGCTTTCTTTGATTAACACACATGGTATGAAATACTGCAGTGTTGGAAATCACTTACACCAAAGGAAGACTCAGTCACAAACAAGACAATCTTGAATGAAATACAAGGAATGATGGAAGTCCCATTCTCCCTTTCTCTGTTCCACCTATATTGTGCCTCTCTCTCTCTCTCTCTCTCTCTCTCTCTTCCTGTGATAATTTTAGATGCCCTGTTGAGAGAGAAAGAAGAATCAAATGTTCCTCTCAGGACCTTCTACCATTGTAAATTTTTTAGATGTTTGTAAGGTCTTCTTTTGGACTTACTTTCATTTAGGATAAGAATACAAAAGTAGAGGAATCACTACTCAATATAATTCACTAATATTTTTTACCACCTATTCACATAAGGTGTGTGAGTTTGGTAAAAACATTAATAAATTAGTTTGTAGGTGTAGCAAAATTGATTATAAAGTAGTATTTATTTTATTTTTTGTGTAGGTCTCGCAAGTCATATGAATTGCAGTTGTATTATTTTTTAAGACCAATCTGTAAATTAAATAATAATTTACAAATATTTTGTTACTTATCCAACTCGACATTTAATTATGTAAGAAAGTGTAAAAATATTTCATTGTGAATATACAATAAATCCAACTATCATACAGGAGGAAGACCACCAAATAAATATGTGGGAAAAAAATGAAGGAAAATGACTGGTAGCTCGAAAAAAGTGGCCCGATTTTGGCTCGAATCGCAAAATGATGTCGTTTTGCGATTTTATTTTATTTTATTTTTTTTTCTTCCTTTTCTTTCTTTCTTTTCTTCTTCTTCTTCTTCGTTGAACACAGGAGAAGAACAGAGGGGAAGAGGAGGAGAGAGGGAGAAAGAGAGAAGAGAGGAGAGAAGGGCCCCTCCTGTGCCTCCGCTGCCGCCGATCGTCGTAGCATCTCCGATCGTTGCAGCAGCTCCGATCGTTGCAGCAGCAGCTCCGATTGTCGCAGCCCCGCGCAGCCCCGCTTCCTCCGGCCCGATTTTGATGGCCCCCTCCCCTCCAGTTCTCCTTCTTCCTCCTCCTTCCTCCTTCTTCTCTTTTTCTTCTTCTCCGAATTCGAGCCAAATTCGAGCCTCCGAATTCGAGCTACGAATCAGAGTCAAAAAATGAATCCATGATAGTAAATTAAGATTCTTGGCCAATTGATGAACCCTGATTAGTTGTTTGCATTAGTGATTGAGAAGTTTCAGCAGTTTTCAACCATGCTCATATATAGATGCTTTCTTGCCATTTTTCCAAGGAAAATATAGCTTCCACCAAGATACATAAAATTATTGCTTTCCATTTTAGCTTACCATATCATGTGATTTTTAACAACTTCAAATGGTCAAGTAGGATGTCAATGTTTGTGTGAGACTCAAATTAGTAATGATATACAAATAAAATATACATATACAAAATGATATAATGCATTAAAATTTATCATTTTAATATATTATACCATAACAATATTTAATAATCAAAACATTGATAATTCTGATATTACACAACCTGAATTATTGATGACTTTTGAGCCATTTATGCTATTGGTGATTGAGTAATTTCATTTTTAAATCTAGCTTCCTTTTGGGATTGTGGGATCCAACATGAGTGCTCCGTTTTAATGATCTAAACTGTTTATTTTGTTAGACCCTTCATATATATATCTACACAAAAAATTAGATCAATTTGATAATTGTAACTTTTTTCAATTTATTGTGTTTGTCACAAAAAAATAATAATTAAAAACACACTAATTTATTTTTTTGAGACAAATGTGACAAATTGAATATGTTACGATTATCAATTCAATCTAATTTTTTATGTGAATGATATACACAAGAAGTCCTACAAAATTAACAATTCAAATTAACTCGAATAACATTCTCCAGACCTGGATTGAAGGAAAGCCCATCCCTTTAAAGGTAAGCTCATACTCTCTCACACTAGTCCTCTCTTGGTGGTACATTTTGGGTCACCTACAGTTGAGCTGTCCCTTTCCATTCCAATTGCCAATCAACCAACCAGAGAGCAATTGATGGGAAGAGAATGAGAATGAGGCCACCATCTTAGATTCCAACATTTGTTGATTTATTAAGGCACCCAATACCAATAGTATATGCTCTCTGTTTTCTCTAAAAGTTAAAATATATATATGCCTTCCTTACAACCCACTTAAATATCAAAGAATATATCTATACTTTGACGAATTAATTAATATGCAGAAGGCCACCACATGTTGCTATTGCATTGGTTGTTGTGTGGTGATAGCTGCAACATGTGACCAATGCAATGTTAACATGCGGTTGGTTTTTGATGATTTCATTGTAATTTTATTTTTTTATTTTTCTTAAGTCTAAATAATTATACTCTAAAAGAAAAATGATTTTTAAGCTAACCAATATGTTTGTTTGCATTTTGTGACTTAAAAAAAAAAAAAAAAAAACCAAAAAAACCATTTTATGGCCAATGTTTTGATAGTATGTCACCCATCTACTTAACCAGCCCTAATTTCACTTCATTTACCATTTTTTTATTTTATTTTTATGAAAACAACAAACTAACCACAATTATTAGGTTCTATTGTGCATAACCTCAACAAAATCAGATTTAGCAATGGACCCAACCCAAGCCGTCAACACATAAATTGATTTCTCTCAACTATATTTGAATTGATTGAAGAGAAATGTACAATTTTCAATGATTTAATAATAATAATAATATTCCTTCTAAAAGATCATAAGTTGGGATTTTTTTAGAAATGTGAAATTTCAACTTGTTAGACGTTTCGTTCCTAAAGAAAATACTTGAAGTTATAAGCAAGATACATTTTTGTTTAGAGTACAAGCCAAGAATATCGGATGGACAGAGCAGGGGTTTTATTTCTAAAACTAAAAAATCTAACAAAGTTATTTGAGTTTGGTTCAAGTTCTGTTTGTTATATAAACAAGTTAAAATTGAACAAATGTTGATATTCGTAATTTTTAAAACGTAGCTCAAACTCATCCCTATAACTTTATTTACATTGTAAAAAACTTGGCAATCCAAGTTTGACTCAATTAAAATTTGTTTGAGAATATTTCAAATTGTAAAAGGTAAACTCAAACACATTTTGAAGTTGATTAAGTTTCAAAAGCTTAAATAATCTACCACCCGGTAAAGGGGCTCCCAATCAGTGGGCTATTCTTTTGTCTAAATGTTTTGATAGCCTCCTAATTTTATTTAGGAAATTAAAAAAAAAAAAAAAATTAAAAAAAAAAACTCAGGGGGAGGGGAGGGTTTGATCTTGGGCCATGTTGGGCTTCTTAAGTATTGGCTTAGGCTTTACTCGAGGATTTAGGCCTAGAATGGCATACTACACTGGGATCAGGCCAGCCCATGGGCCTCTAGCCTAATTTACATGCCTAACTTTTACAATATCAACTAGAAAAAATGGTTAAATGCAATTTTACCCATCCAATTGTCAAAGAATAGCCAATAGCTGAACATCACCTCAACTTTAAGTTTATAAAATTAAAAAATATGTATAGTATTTATAATTACTAGTTAAATGTAATTATGTGATTAACTAGACTAATCTCATTGGGGTATGCAGTTGGTTTAACCCTTATGAAATCCCAATTGAATATTTCGCCGTTATGTTAGATAAAAATGTCTTACCTTCGTTGTATAGGCCTACTCAAAACTTTAATTTTTTGTTGTCATTTTTGTTTTTGTTTTTTTGTTTTATTATAATTTTCTTCTCTTTTTAATAAGAAAAAAAGCTTCATTCATGTCATTTAATCATACTAAGAATGTGAGCTAACTTGAAAATAAAAGTAAACAAGTGACACTTGAACTCATGACAACAAAAGTGAAGGACAAAAATAACTTGTTTGTCATTATAATGCTGCATTTTTTTTATAAATAAAGAAGAGAAAGGGAGAATTACACATTAGTGGAATTAGAAATTTTTTTTATTATTTTTTATAATTTTTTTTTTTTGTAATTACTATTGATATGTAATACTCCCCCCAAAAAAAAAATAAATAAAAAATTTGGGGCTGTTGATACTTTTAAGGGTTAGTTTCTATACTAACATTTTATAATTGGTTGTGGTGACATAGGTTTCTTGTATTAGGTATGCATACAATTGTTTACATTTTCTCTTACATCATTGTTGGGGACATGTTTTTATGAAATCATCTTTCGCATAAAGTATTGTATAATTTTAAAGTTATTTTGTGCTCACAGGGGGAACTGAGTTATCCCACCTGTGACAACTCTCCTTATCATGAGGTCAAATCTCTTCAAGCTACTGCAAATGTCATGCATGTCACAAAATCATGAAGGCCCCACTTATATCTATTTATACTGGATATGATCTTGGCAAATATTTCTAATATACACATATTAAAAAAGATATATCATATGTATTTTTAATTATATTATTTTCTTTTTTAGTTATGATCATTTCTTCTCTAGTTATAATATTATTTTAGTTATGACTCATGAGTTCTTTAGTTATATTTCATATTGTGTTTAGTTATGACATTTTTTTTTAATTATGACTTAAGGGTGTTTTGAGAAGATGGTTAAAAACTATTTTTTTGACTTTTTTGTGAGAGAGGGAAGTGGGTTAAAAGCTGAAAAGTGACTTTTAACCCACTTCCCAAAATAGGCCTTAAAAAGTATGAAATTATACTATTTTCTTTTTTAATTATAAAATGAATACAGTGCATATGTCATTTTCTTTTTCTTTTTCTGTTGGGCATGTATCCAAAATACCCTCAAAAGTTATACTAGGTAAATTACACTTACCTCTCCTAAAATTTGAAGAAGATACAGTAAATTTCAGAAGTTTAGAATAATTACACTAGACTCCCCTAAAGTTTTAATTTATATTAATACTTGACACATTTTTTCATTAGAAATTTGTTAATCATATGAATGAAAAAAATAATATTATTATCTCTTTTACATTAAAATGTATATTTTATTTTGCGTATCTTTGTGTTTTTATACTATCTGCATGAGTTTTGGTCTCTTTAACTTTACTAAAAGAAAAATCAGTATAGTTATGTTAAAACTATGAGACTTACTGTATTTTATCTAAATCTTAAACAAGGTTACTGTAATTTACTTAAAGTTATAATTAAAACAAAATCGATGAATATCTTTTGTCAATTCGTATTTGATGTTCCAAATAAGTTTTAAGAAGTTACAAATTGTAATTTAAGAAATATTAATTTTTTTAGGTCAAATAAATTGCAAATAGTCAAACAACCATTAGGTAA